GGTGCCCGACCCTCCATAGGAACTATATTCGTTTCCTGGAGCCATCACAACCAATTGTCACAAACTGCGTGACTTAAAATGACAGGAATTTATTCTCTCAATTTAGGAAGCCAGAAGTCTGACATCAAGGGATAAGCAGTGTTGGTCCTTCTGGAGGCTCTTTGGGAGAAGCCTGTGTCATAACTCCTGGTGGCTGCTAGCAATCTGGCATCCTGCGGCTGGTAGACACATGGTTCCAGTGTCTGCCTCCATCCTATCAAGATCCTTCAATTATAACATCTCCAAAGACCCTGTTTCTACCTTAAGTGCCTGCATTCTGAGGGTTCAGGTGAATTTGAATTTTGAGCCAACACTATTCAATCCATTACAGGAGCTCATGTGCATTTCCCTGGACCATCAGAGCTGGCATGGGCTGCAATTTGAGGTCTAACACTAGAAGAGCATGTACTAATACTCCAGTCTTTGAAAGAGTAGATTTAAATATATATATATATATATATATATATATATATATACACACACACACACACACACACACACATTTATTTTCTAGGTTTTTTTTTAGGTGGACACAATATCTTTATTTATTTTTTTTTAAATTTTATGTGGTGCTGAGGATCGAACCCAGTGCCCCATGCATACTAGACAAGCACTCTAACACTGAGCCACAACCCCAGCCCGAAAGAGTAGATTTTAACGAGCTACATCTTAAGTAATTGCAAGTGAGAACTGATTGCTAACAGAATCCTTGATTGATTTTCTTGTTTCAAAATTGGGTGTTGTGGGGTTTTTTTCTATTAAAAAATAGAATTTTTCATCACATTTGGGTTTTCTTTGTAAAGCCCACTATTTTTCCTGGCCAAATTCTTCATTTACCATGCCAGTTCTCCACTAATACTCTGTCCCTGAGTTTATTATATTAAATTGAGTATGCTGAAAGCTATAGAAAAAGACCACTGCATTATAGGAGCCCTCCTACCACCACCTGTTGTGGGGCTTCACCCACCCCTGGAGAGGGCAGGATGTATATGGAAGGACCCTGAACAGTGAGATAAGAGACCTGGGTTCCATTTAAATTGACTCTGAAAAGTTTTAGATTCTGGTGCCCATATGTGCATACTTCTCTCTCAAGACCACAAGTTGATCATTTCCATCTCTGAAGGCATCTCCATCAATTCACCACAGACAGTTGACTCTTTAATAGTACTGTGCTAGACACTAGGAGCTTATTGCTCATGAGGTAATGCTGTTATTGGGAGGGTGAGGGGTACAGGACACACTGTAGCATGGGGAGAGCACTTCTGGAAGCCTCAAGGATATGGCCTCTAAGTAGAGTCCTCTGAAGAGTTAATGCTAGGTGACAGGATGAGAGAAGAATGCCTTTGGGGGAAGGAGTATTGTGTGGAAGTCCTGGGAAACAGGAGAAAAGTCAGTGTGGTCACACAGGAAATGACTGATCCCAGATTCCAGGCAGAACCAGGTGACAGGCAGGGCTGGAGAGACCTACAAAGATCAGACCATGTGGGGTTTTCTAGGCTATGACTTATGTCCCAACAGCAAGGAGAACTCACAGGAGGGTTTTAAGAGGGAAAGTGGCATGGCTGAATTTTATATTTTGAAAGTTGTGGTGACTTCAGTGTGATGACTAGGAAGACTGTCAGGAGACCTTTTTGGTAACTGTTGATGGTTAAAATCAGAGTGGATAATGGGATAGATATAGAGAAAGTTTAAACGTGAAGGAGAAGGTGAGGACCAGGTCTGATTTGGGCATGGAGTAGAAAGTAGCATCTTTTACATCACTCTCAGTTGCCTGTAAGAATCATTCCTCTTTACCTCTGTTTTGAGATGGCCTTGATTTGGAAGACCTTTCTGGCTCTGTCCCCATCTGAAGTAGAAAGGTGGACTGGCTTATCTTCCCTGGACACTGAAGTTCTTTTCTTTTCAAAGGGATGGAAAGATAGAGTTGCAAGTTTCTCCTCCTTGTTTTTCAGAATCCAAATTGAACTCCTCTGGTTGCATATTCTAGGAGCTAAGTAAAAAACCTATTCAGATGTATATTGAGAGCCCTTAACAACATTGTCCTCAGAAGGTGCAAAAGAAAAAAAGGATATAAGGAGATCTGGGACAATGGGAAAGGATTTATCCAGTTTCTCAGGAGGATGGGATTAGGCCCAGGCAAAAAGACCCCAGCCTTTTTATCTGTCCTCTTGCAGCTCACTGGAGCTTGGCTCACCCTGGGTGGTCAAGAGCCTCTTTTGTCCAAAGGAATCTCAATGCCTCCTGAACTCATTTCTTCCCACTGGGCCTGCTTTTTCTCTCCTGCTCCTGCTAAACTAGAGTTGGAGGGACCTGGGGAAGGTGTCACCCACCCTGCCTCTGTCTGCTCCTTGGGCTGATTGGTCCCTGTAAAGTATTCACGCTGTGGAAAACCTGCTTCTTTAGCTTTTGTGATTTTTCTTAAGACCACAATAGCAACCAGAAAGAGTATCCACATGAAAAACAGCTCCTTCTGCTTAATGCTCTCTTCCCTCAAATGAGTGGATATGTCATTTTGGAGAGTTCTCAGCCCTGTGCTAAAATGGAGGTGTCTGTGAAAACTGCTTGGCAGGTGTGATGCTGACCTGCTCATTACATGTTCTTTGGCATTCACCATAACCACAAATTCCTAGAGGAGGGGGAGGGGAGATGATTGGATATACCAGGGGCTTATCAAGTGAATGTTCACCTTAATCCCATCTAGGCCTTTGCTCAGCAACTTTGAGTTTGGGAATTTCAAAGCAAATCCTATTTTGCTGGGCTAGTTTTGTGCAAATGTTAATCAGTGAATTGTTTCTGAGCATCAGTGTAAACCTAATGAGAAATAATGCTTGAGGTAAAATGTAGAACGACCTGGAAATCATAAATTTCATCAGTTGGACTAAGATTGAAACCTGATTCCGCCTTACCTTCATTATTTCATTAGGACCAGATATCTTAAAGGACATATTTGATTTTTCAAACTTTCAAGTACCCACTGATTGTGTGAAGGCTCACTGACATGCCAACCACATCCCTCTGCTGGTCTTTCCTTCTGCCAGCTAGTATTAGCTCTGTGGTCTTCTGCTATCATGGCAGGCCTGATAAATACCAGCTAGGGATTAGTGTACTGGGGCCTGAGATTCTCTTGACTTTTAGAAAAAGACTCTCAATGTCTTAAAATAGTGTAGTAGCTAAAATAACAATAACAACAATAATAGCTGGCCATTGCAGAGAGTAGTGTTTGTTTAAAATCCAAGGCCCGTTCTTGGCAGCAGTTTCCACTAGCTGGGCTCCCACAAGAATTGCTGTAATGGAAAGCATGTGGCCTCATCACGAGAGGAAACACAGGGGTCTGTGAAATCCCCTCTGAGAAGATTTCCTGAGCATTGACCTCCGTGTACCCTAGAACTTGAAGTAAGTGGTGTGGACTTGACCATTCTAAAAAGACTTGGGAGTCTGTTGGCCCCTCTAGCCTCAACACCTAGACTGTCTGTTCCCATCACCAGCTTCTAAGATGCTTTCCTACCTTGTGAGGAGGGAGGGAGTCACGGAGGCCAGTCAGCTATAGCCTATGAAAAAAACCACACCACTCGGATGCATGATGTCTGGAAAGGAATATGAACTGCCCTCTGAATGGACAGATACCAATCAGCTCATGACTCCCTCCCATCCTATGAGAAGCTCTTGCAATGCAGGCTGTCAAAGTCTCACCTACCCTGTACACATCTCTTCCACATCCACCCCCAGGCCTACTGCTTTCTCTTAGTCAGCATGTCACATCCAGCAAAGCAGTTTTCTGTTCCTGGCCCACTTCCCTTGTGGAATCCATTGCATCCAGAACCAGAGTTTCCAGGTATGGGAAGGATGTGGAAGATAGCAAGCCTGGGAAGGCTTATTAGAGACAATGGAAAGATATGATGATGTGACTATCTTGGCCTTGGATCACATGCCCTATGGACTTTTGGAAAGTCCTCAGTGGTGTTTCTAATGGCTTTATCAAGTCACCTTATCCTGGCTCCCTCAGCAGTCCTGGATAGCATCCTTGGTGCACTGGTTTCAGATTTTGACAGGTGATAAAAGCACGTATTGAGATTGCTGCTTCACAGGGTCCACATTTCATAACTATTGACTGATGTTATTTTTGCCTTTGCTGAGAAGCTCACTCATGTGTTTTCTGTTACTTTAATGGATTGCTTCCTGATACACAGGGAGGCCCAGCCATTTGCCCTTCAATCTGACAAACTGCAGCTTCACCTGAATGGACTGGAACTACACAAGGAACATTTAGACCAGGCAGTTGGCAACACAACTCACTTTTCTTCCTAGAAAATATGCTCAGAGCAGACACACCTATAAACATGCTTATTTGCATCTTTGTGGAGCCTAACTTTAATTAGGATTCTGAAAATTCTTCACTTCCATTCTCTGAATTTTTAACATCTAAATACCCTAAGGTTCTAGTGTTTGGTTCTGTACTTCTGAAGGCTAAATGGAAAATGCTTGATCATGATTTATTTGTCAGTTGTAATTATGCTGATAAACAGAACAGTATTCTGGACTTATTCTGGGTTATTGGTTATGCCAATAAACCATTGTTCTACCAAAGGCTCTGCAGTGGGTTCTCATGGAATGTCTCGTAGTGGATATCTTCTCTCTCTTCCTTCTGCTCTTCAGACACATTTTCTGGTCTGTGCAGGAAATTCCCACTCTTCTTTGGTTCCCTGGCTATGGTTGGAAAGACATCAGAGTGTCAAAGGCTGAGTTCAGGCCTAAGGTATCAGCAGACCAGTCAGGTAGCAGAATTTTGTATTTACTGTTCTCTTGCTTTGAGTTTGGGGACAAAAGCCAACAGGTTATTAAAAGAATGAGAATAATTTGACTTCTGACATTGGTTGGGTCTTGGGGTTACTGGGTATTTTGTTTTCTGATGTGAAAGCAGCTGTTTGGTAACCACTAACTCTTCCCTTATTCTTTTCTTGCAGATGAGCTCACAGTGCCTGCACTTTACCCCAGTAGCCCTGAAGTGTGGGCCCCGTACCCTCTGTACCCAGCGGAGTTAGCGCCTGCTCTACCTCCTCCTGCTTTCACCTATCCCGCTTCACTGCATGCCCAGGTAATTTATACCCATCGGCCACGACTTCACTCACTCCACCACCAGCCCTTTCAAACCTGGTTCCCCAGAGCACACCATACAACTAACACCTATCCAGCTAACAGATCCACCTTCAGGAGATGAATGATCCCCTCTACATCAAGCTGACACCCCTCCAGGACTTACGAGGAGCGTCTGACAGCAATGATACCACCCACTGCCTGATGTTTATCCCCCCAAACACCTCTCTCTTCCTTAATGATCTCACCCTCATCTTACACGAGAGACTGGGGCAAGGTCACCTCCCTGGCTCCCAGCTAGCTAGAGGGCATCACCCAAGCATAGATACGTCTGCCTTTTCGTGTGGAAGGGTTACCGAGGGAGGAGTGTACTTGAAGTTATGTGTGTCTGTGTGTGTATCTGTGTGTTGAGAGGCTTCTGCTGTTGTTTCCCATGAGGATCTAAGGACCAGAAGAGAAACTTCCAAGAGGAAGACTGCGTTTTCTTACACTGATTACAGGAAAGATGAAGAGTTCCTTGTTCCCATGTTGAAGCCCTGTAGGAAGGGTGCAATATAGTATTTAGAATGTAATTACAAGTTAAAGTAGAGATCTCTGTTCTGCCCAACTTTCGTTCTTAGTTAAGAATAGCCTGAGTTTTATAAACAAATTCCCTGTTTCTCCCCAGAGACGACTCTTTGAATACTAACACTTCCTCTCTTCTTGGAGAAAATGTTTCTCTGAGCCTTGTTTTTAGTGCTGGTAGTAGTAGTAATCATTGTTAAGATCCATTGTTGGAAATAACCACTCATTCTTTGGCCTTCAGAGAGTAATGAACAATAGCAAATAAAAAGTAAGAATACAGAGCCTGGAGATGTAGCTCAGTGGTAGAACACTTGACTAGCATGTATAAGACCTTGGGTTCAATCCCCAGCACACCAAAATAAAAGAAAAGAGAAAGAATATTTGTCTTCCCACATAAGCTTTTAAAACCTCAGCCTCGTTTTTAAAAAATTGTCAGGCTGGACAGGTATGGTTTTTGTTTTATTGGGTAATATTTGTTTACAAGGCTGGATGGAATAAACAGTTTCCCAGAAAATTCTTCTTTCTGACTTAAAACACTTTTCACATTGGACAGAACTATGTTGACTGACTCACCTGCAAGTAGCCCCTAAGTAGGCTTCTCCAAAGCCGTGAGGTCAGGAGTGATGTACGTTAAGTAACTAATTACCAATGCTTTCTGCATGTACTAGTGACCTGGCTTCTGGGGCTGTTCCTCAGTCCCTGGACTCCTGAGAGACATTGACCTCTGTGTTGGGAGGAAAAGGTAAAAAGTAGTAAAGAAAAATGTAGATGGGGGCTTCAGTTGTGCTCAGCAGTAGAGCGCTCACCTAGCACGTGTGAGGTGCTGGGTTCAGGCCTCAGCACCACATAAAAATAAATAAATAAAATAGAGTTATAAAAAAAATTTAGATAGTGGCAGAGAAGCTTCTTGGCACAGAAAACAAATTAGAGGAGTAGCTGTGCCTTTTGGTTTCCCTTCCTCTGCTGCTTTGCCACTTTCTGTCCATGTCATTGCTTGTAACCCTCACAGCTGGCATCTAACAGGAGGGAGGGAGATGTAAGCCTGTGGCAGTCTTCTGCTGAGTCATCAATATGTTTATAGTAGTCTGGGTGACTTTGTAAATAATGAGGAGCAACTGAAAGAGCCCCTTTTATTGCTCCCCTCCATCACCACTACCAATCTGGATATTGTGTCTCCATTTGCTAGATGGCTCAGATTGGCAGTTAAGGCCATTGTTAATAAATACCATGAAACAGTACAAGTTTGCATTCTCTTCTGAATGTCCATGGCTTTGGTTAGTCACCATTTCCTTGGAGAATCAAAAGTTGACAGTGAGCGAAAAGGTCTGGGAATAGTGACTTTGAGCTGTGACATCTGCCATTGCTTCATTCATGTAACAAATGAAATCAGAAATGATCCTGGGGACATGGTAGGAGAAGGACCTAATGAATCTTAAGGGATTAGTAAGCCTCCACCTGTAAGGGAAGCTGGAGACACAGTGCAAGATTAGATGGACTGACCTATTTGAATAAATGGGATGCATTGCCCATGTGGTGCCCTTCCCTGGGAGTTCTTCCTTGGCCTTGAGACTTTCCCAGCCTGGAATCTGCCATATCGGTCTTAGATTTGGTGAACTGTCATCCAATATCAGTGAGATCCATGTGTTTAACCCCTCTTCCTGTTTGGAGTCATTCCCAATGCAACCTTGGACTCTGTATCCCAAAGATTCATTCATGAATATGGTTATTTAAATGTCTTAGTCAATTCTGGGACTCACAGAGTGAACTGATAGAAGCTTTACAGATGAGCTGGTCTGACCCATTTTACAGATGAGGAAACAGGCCCGAGAAGATGGAAGGAGTTACCCCAAGTCACAGTGGCTCTACCATGACTAGACCTAGTTTGGTCACCTGACTCCCAGGCCTATCCCTTTCTACTCCGAGGCTGGCTTACCAAAAGACTTATTTAATGGAATTTTGGAGAGGCCTCAATCCAGTGACTCCTTGGAACTTTAGATGGGAAACCTATAAGAAGAGACTTGGAGGCAAAGACAAGGGAATCAGCATTTAACCTGCACCCAAAGGGCCTCAAAGAATCTTACTAACTGGAGGTAGAACAGAGTGGGGAAGCTCCAGGTGGAGCCACTCCCCTTAGTGGATAATTCAGTTTTTGTTTTGGAAATTTTATAATGTCTTTGGAGAGTCTTCTAAGTAATTTTGCTTTTCTTAGCAATGTTGTGCTCTGTTTTGAGACATGGATTTTTTTTTTCTTCTAGTGTTTCTCTCCTGAGGCAAAGCCCAACACACCTGTCTTTTGTCCACTTCTCCAGCAAATTAGATTTGTCTCTGGGAATGTGTTTGTCACATATCAACCTACTGCAGACCAGCAGAGGGAGCTCCCATGTTGAATTTGTGTGTTAGCTATTTTTCCCCCTTTTGCAAAAACTATTTCTTGGCAACATTTGAGAGATTTCAATAAAAATTTTAATCAGAGCAAAAAATTATGTCAAGTAGACTACAGCGTTTTGTTTTTATGGTGATGAAATTTTGAAGCAAAATTGTTACTCTCTGACTGAGGTTTTGGGAGAATTGGGCCCATGACAGCTAAATGTGTTACACAGAAGGACTCGGAAAAAGCACACTGGGGAGACCAGGCTCCAGAACCCAGGCCTCATCACTGCTGCACGTATCTTCTTGGGCTCCTGAACCACTATGAGCTGCATACTAGAAGATTCTCATTCCAGCCTTCTCAACTACCAGGACCTCTCATTTCAGGAAGGACAGTGTATTTAGCTAGCAGAAGCCCATTTGGAAAGAGTGGATGTGTTTTCCAGTTCATCAGTTGTGACCCAGTGGAAAGAGGACTGAGGAAACGGAAGTTGTCATTAAAACAGAGTTAGGTCACATTTCTAGTTCTGCCTAGATTTTAGTCATGATCTGGCACCCCCTCAGATTTTCCAGTTCTAATTTGAAGATACTTTTTGCAATCAATTCCTTTTTTCAGAAACAACTGGCTATGGTAATAGGACTGCACACTGGTAGCACCTTATTATTTGGGGGGATAAAAGTGTATTAAACGTCATCAACATTTTTAGAAGTGACTGTCTAGTTTACTATGAAGGCCATTGATCTTTGAATTGTATTAAATATGTAGGAAGGTTTCATCCACTACTTTCTGGAAGGTCTAAAGATAACATACAGCACTTCCTATCACCTCATGCTCACACATCTCTGCTTTTAGTCTTGTTGCTCATGGGACAGAGAAAGCATATAGTCCTCTCCACATTCTAGAAATCTAGCACCAATTACCCTCCTCTAGAGTCAGTCACAAAATTGGGTCAGAGAATTTTGCAGGGAGGTAGGCCTGGGAAAGAAAATCCTGGTTCCCTACTGCGTCTCCAGAGGCCTCATTTGCCCAAGTTTCAGCAGGTATTTTGGAACTCACTCAGGCTATTGTACAGTTTGTGATTGGAGCACGACCGGTACTGCAGAAACAGAAGATTTTGAGGCAAAGTTACAACACAGACTTCTTCGAGGTGTACCCCTTGGGAGGCCCCTTATGGCACACTGGAAAAATTTAAAGGTTAATCTCAATAAATACAGAAGTGGACCATGAGGAAGGAGACATAGGCAGGCAGGACAGGGAGATCACAAAGGGAGAGGTGGGCCTAGGACTAGCATGTGGGTTGCCTGCACTGTAGAACTGTCCCCAACACCACCACATCTAAGCATTTACTGAGCTTCATGGTGCAGCTTCCAAGAATTGGATTAGAGAATTTTTTAAAACACAAAATCACTAAGCATCTCCTCTATCATTACTGTTCTGTGGAGAATATTGAGAAAGATAAAACACAGAGTCTTGTTTTGCAAGTCTGAAGAGTGTGAGAGGGAATGTAGACCCAACCATGCACAGAGCCCTTTGGTAATCACCTGCCTCCATAGCAGCTATCCTACCCAGGTGCCTGGTATAACTCACATGGCAAGTAGTCTTCCCTCCCAACCCCTTCAGCCTCCCCACCCCCAGCGTGTACTTCCTGTTCATCAGGCAATAGCTAGTGTTATAATGGTAGCTGTTCCTGTGGGACCTGTGTTCAAACTCCAACACTTAGGTAGAGGCTTTATCACCACATACAGGCCTGGTTTTCAGAAGTAAGGGAGATTCTGGTCACTTCTGTGAATCTCAGATCCTGTCAGCTCATAGCCCTGGCTCCCTTGTCTTTCAAGCTTGACTCTCCCATGGGTAAATTGTCTGGCCTCCAAAGCTGCTGCTTGCAGCTGTCCAAAAGACCCAAAGCTTTAAGTTGTCTTCAGACATGGATGAAACAAACTGCTAATCCTCTGACAGTTACATTTCACTCTAAACCTGAAGCTCATTGAGGCCAGACTATGAGGAGAAAGAATTCCTTGAGTGCCCCAACTCTTTGACTGGGCCAGTCTTGCCTTATTAGGCTAAGAACA